TCTGCCAAATAAATAAATTATATTAAAAAAAGACCCTGAGATCATGACCTGAGCTGAAGGCAGACGCTTAACGGCTGAGCCACTCAGGCGCCCCATAAATAAATCTTTTTAAAAAATAAATAAAAATAAAATGTGTGTAGAATGTGGTCATATCGTTATTATAGATCTATGCATAGACAAAAAGACTGGAAAGATCTATACTAAAACTTTAATAACAGTGGTTATTTCCCAGTGGTCAGACTACAGGATATTTCTGCCTTTTACTTAAGGTCCCTGAATTTTCTAAAGTTAGCATGGATCACTTTTGTTATGGGGGAAAAAAATTAAACAGTATTCTTAAAAGAAAGATGTAAATGGATTGCCTATAGAATTCTCTCATAATGCCCTCTTCCCGTAGAAGACATTAGCTTTTAGCTAATAAGACATTTCATTTAACAAATACTAACTGTGCTCCAACTATGAACGGTAATGAACTGGGCATTCTTATAGGCACTTGAGATATATCAGTAAACAAAATGTAGAAAGATCCTTGCTCTTATGTAACTAATTTCCTAGCATTTCTGGTTTTAGCTTTTCCCAAATATATAACTAAAAAGGTTCTTCTCAAATAAAATAAAAGTAAAAAAAAAAAAAGTACTTTCAGTTTTGTTTACCCTTCTTGGGTTCCTGAGTTCATGGTCAGAGATTTAATTAGTATAACCAGAGCTATTCTTAGAAAGTGGCTCAAGTGTATGAATAAATGGTTTAAAGAGACTGGGAGACTAAAGCAGTAAGAATGATAAATGTCATTAGATTAGTACTTCCTGGGCATGAAAGGACATGTCCTCAAGGCTTAGGGGCATCTATCTATCTATGTGATCTTTGTGGACCCTCTAAGAATCATAGGAAATGTATGCAGTAAGATGATTCTGTGCCAAGGGAAACAAATATTTATATAGTAAATAGTTGAGATCTTTAGTTCTGTAGTGATATAGCATACAGGATCATGAGCTCCATAGGTACCCAGACCTATTTTTCACTGGTGGGTTGTCAATTCTCCTGCCCCTCTCTACCCCCAACCTTAATAATGCATCGGCAAGAAGTGTCTAGCTGATTGCTATGAATAGATAATATAGTATAATCGGAATCAGAGAATCTTAAATTCCAGGGAATAGATAGATTCTCCAGAGGCCAAATTCTATAGGATTTAAAAACTGAAAGAGTTTTGGATGCACATGGATTATTGGCTTTTTGGTGTCCCCACAGTTCTACAGTGCTCATTTCCCAGCGTATCTTTCAGGTCTGCACTACAGAGTTTACACAAGGCTTGTGAAGTGGCCAGAATGCATAACTACTACCCAGGCAGCCTGTTTCTCACCTGGGTGAGTTATTACGAGAGCCACATCAACTCAGATCAGTCGTCAGTCAATGAATGGAATGCTATGCAGGATGTGCAGTCCCACCGGCCTGACTCTCCAGCTCTCTTCACAGACATGTAAGTCAGCTTACTCAGGATCACGGGAGTGTTCTCTCTTGTATCCTAGGAGGTGTAAGCAACATGTTCCTCCCTAATCTCTCCTCTTGGAGAATTAATCTCATCCAGTGATATTAGTCAATGTCTACACTACACAACTGCCACACAAAGAACCCTATTCTTTCTGTTGTCTGCAAAGGCCTAAGGAGTTTCACTCCTGGGCACAATGGAATCTCCATAGTAAAGAACTGCAATACCATAAAATCCCATTCAGATTCCACTAATTTGACATTTGAGTTTAAAAGGAGTTAGGCTGAAGTCTGCCTTTGCATTATCTGTGAAAGAAGCATTTGGTAAGCAAATTAATGACACAGAGAAGCTTTTTGTTGTTTTGTTTTAAGATTCTATTTTCAAGTAATCTCTACACCCAGTGTGGAGCTCGAACTTACAACCCCTAGATCAAGGGTCACATGCTGTACTGAGTGAGCCAGCCAAGCGCCCCGACATATAGAGAAGCTTTTAAAGGGATGTTTCCAGTACTTAAGAAAACAAGATGCTTCCAGTCAATTTAAAAGACTGCCTAGGTTGCTGTGCTAATTTTAAACTGATTTCTGTCCACATATTTTAAAAAATAACTTATAATTCAAGTGTTTGACTCAGCCCCACCATTGCCCTGTTGGGTCTTTGTCATTGAGATTTTATTAAATCTCCCTGGTGTACTGTGAGTTGATAAGGGCCTGAGGTGGAGTTGATGTTTATTTCCTTTTTAGGTCTATGTGTTGAAACTTATGTGACTGTTTTGGAAATTAATCAGGATGTTTATTTTGCTCTGAATTGATCTTTCTGCAGTTCCAAGGTATTCTACAGCTGGAAAAGAAGAGTAGCTACTTACTATCTGACCATACAAACCTTCACCTTCAGATTCCTAAATTGATACCAAAACAGTTCATGGTTTTTTGTTTTGTTTTAAGAAAATACTTAGTTTAGATAGTAGTGTAAACTTATTTTTACTAGAAAAGGTGAAATTTCCAAGAATTGTGTGAACAGAGCAGGCAAAAAAAGCAGTGGAAGCTTTTTGCATAGGGTGTTACTGATACTAGGACCTCCTTTTTATTAGCCCTAGTCCTTTGAAGATCCCACGGTAACTGAAAAGATAAGGATTAGTCTGGCTTTCAGAATCTTGGAAAATGTTACTGATTTCATGCCTTATAGCTGGCTGGTGGGTATCAAGGGAATGGATGTCTCATCTGGCTCAAAAATGGACATTCTAGGGCGCCTGGGTGGCTTAGTTGGTTAAGCGACTGCCTTCGGCTCAGGTCATGATCCTGGAGTCCCGGGATCGAGTCCCACGTCGGGCTCCCTG